CTTGTTGTAGATAGGCAAGACAAAACTTTTAAAAGGTTTGGACAATCAATCATAATTTTATTCTGACAGAACAGTTTAGGCTGACATTGACAACACCCTCATTCTGTTCATTATGGGATTCAAAACAATTACATCCACTCACATAAAAAGATTTTGGGTCACTTGTGACTGACTTTTAATGGCATGGTTAGTAACAGTATGACAAATAAGAGAAAACTGGAAATGAATCAAAGGAGCCAAAAATATGGTGTTGCAAACATTTTGGGAACATCTACTGGTTTGCTTTTCCTTTCTTCATTAATTTCTCAAAGGCTTATTGCCTTGCAATAATTAATTTCAATTAATGAAAGAAAACTGTCTGCACTGATGTGCATTGGGTCGTCTGGCAGGATTTTTGTAAGACAAAGCCTTGCATGAACTGGAACCAAATGCGTACAAGCCATGCTAGCCAAGAAATTTTTGTTGACATATGATTTATCTGAGAGAAAGACCAGTGGTTATCACTCAGTATCATCTGGAAAAGTGATGGATGTCACCAATCTCTGGCAAAAGTTCTCAGCTCACTTGTTGATACCTTTTGAAAAAAAAATGGCAGAATTTGTTTTCGATTTTGGTTTTATCTAAGAGACAGTGCAGTGTCTTGAAGTATTTAATGGAATTGTGTTAAAATTTTTTAAACTAGTTTGAATAAAGAATTGATTGATTGCATCACGATAAAAGTTGTTTTATGGGTTGGACCAGAGTATTGTGAGCTGATGTCAGTTTGAGGGATGATTTGTGTGCACTTATCTTTCCATCTGTGAAACTGACCTGTCAATAACACACTGAAGCACTAATTTCCAAAATTGGCCGGTCTTTTTAAAGTTGTGAAGTGGAATATGTAAGAAAATGCAGAAAGTCTGATAATCAGCTGAACAATAACAGTATAATTAAAGAATAATCATCCTCAGGCTCAGTGAGAATGATTTCAAATAATACCCATGATAAAGCAGAGGGGATTATTTAAGAATAATCCCTTCACTTTTTGCCAGTAATTGCTAAATATTTGGTTTGTTGCATTACGATTAACAAACACCTCTATTGTAAATACATACAGGACAATGGAGACTTAAGTCCTAGTTTGGATTTAAAACTGTTAATCCAAATTTGAAATTTGGCAATTGTGATTATGCCATTCAAGTACTGATATTACCATCTTTACCCTTAGACTGGCAGCAGTTTTTTATCGTGTAAAATAGGATAAACATTAGGGGTACAGCTTAAAGGCAGGTACAAACATTTTGGCACCAAGTCTCCTTTCTCCAAATGATAAACCTTGGAATACATATTCATTGTGACTGCAAGTTTCCTTTTTTAACTGAGTGAAATTAAAGATATGCAGCAGTCAATTCCATTAATTTTGAAAAGGGAATAATTATTTTGGTCTTTTAAAGTGTTTAACAAAGCCGATATCCATCGATCCAGACACTAATGTGGACATAAGATTATTGAATTAAAGTAATCAGCCAACAATCTTTAACTGTTCCTACAACACGTTTTTCACATCAGATTGCAAACAATTAAAATTCAAATTAGTGATGAATTTGTATTTTTAAAGTCATAGTATTTTTTGTTCAATGATACTGAGAATAAACCCTAAAAAGAAGTTTAAGGTGAAAATTTGCATGTTAAAGGTCAGAAGCAATCAGTGATTTGTAAGGTGATTTGTGTCCCTCTTGGTGAGATTGCTCCAAAAGCTTCCAAACAGTCATGGAATCTCAGTGTGGTTACCCACTTCTTGTTACTCTGTTTCTCATTTCTCTGTATGGCAAACTGTAGCATCTTCGTCATTTTATTCTAATCTAGCTTAGTAAAAATTTTACAACTTTTTTTGTTGATGGATTTCATTATGAGATTTCATCATGACAGCTACACCATTTCTGATCCCAATTAGCTAATTATTATTTCCACCAAAATTATTCAAAAGTTTGGGGTGCAACCTATACACTGGTGTGGCTTAATGGCAGGTAAATACAGTACCCTTTGCCCTTTCCACAAAACACGTGAAGGTTGATTTATGGATGTATTTTATGAATGTGTCAATGGGATTTTCCCAAAATCAGATTTGGTACATTAATCTAAGTGTAGGGATGTGAAGAGAGTAAATGTTTCCTCAGCAGAACAGTTTTTAACCTGTTGATATTTTTTATGATGTGAATGGACTTTACCATATGCAGGTAGACCTTTATAGTCAATGTGACAACAATATCCCAGCATGTTTTGTGTTTCCCTTGCAGAAAATCTGGATTATGTTGAAAGAGCTCTTTTCTCTATGGGTAAACCAACTGATTCTATGGTATTAAATGCTAAGTTGTGGTTGTGGTTGGTTGTGTCAATTCTGCAAAGTGAACCTTGACCATCATTTCTTCACCTGCTGTTCAATATTTGAGTCATGGAAAGCTATCATCAGTTAATCATGAAAGCACTTGAAAAGAAGCAGCATTGAAGGTAAGTAAATAAACAAGTGATTTGCTATTGCTCTTAGATAGGTACCAAATATTTATCAGCCATGATTCATTTCATAAATTCTTTGGATACTTTACAAAATGAAATGCATTAAAACATCATTATTAATTGCCAATTGTTAAAGAGTAGGGTTATTCAAGTAAAAGGACAAATTTTGTTTCTGGCTAGTTATCACTTTTGAAGAAGGTTACTGATACAGAGTTTCTGATATTTTGTGCAGTCATACAGTCATGAATTTCATGTAAATCCTGTGAAATTCAATAAAACCTGCAAAATTCCAGAAAATACACCATAAATCTTGCCAAATACATGTCACCACAACATATTTGAAGCTTGTAATATAATTGAACTTACCTTGGCTGTTGGGGCTGTGTACTTCCCAAATAGAAATCATATTAAGGTTCTTGATAGGAATCTTAATAGGATCTTAGCAAGATTCTTGTAAGATTCTCATAAGAATCTTATAAGAATCTTAAAATATTCTTACAAGATTCTTACAGGATTCTTAGAAGGATTTTATTCAGGTTCTCACCAAATCTTATAAGATTCCTAGCAAGATCTTAGAATCTTAACAGGATCTTACCCACACTCCTACAAAAATCATAACAAAATTCTTGTGAGATCTCTGTAAGATTCTTACAAGATTCACTCAGGTATCCTATAAGATTCTTATGGGATTCTTATAGGATTTGTACAAGAAATTTCTTTAGAATCTTAACACTGATTCTTGTTTGAATCTTATTAAGATTCCTTTTAAGATCTTATAAGTAACTCAAACAGATTAACCTCCTCTTCACATCTTTTTTACAGCATCATCACGTTATCACATTTCCAACACAAAACTCAAAACAGGGCATTCCATTTATGAGACATGCAAAATCACAGTTGCCGTTGTTGCTAGAAAAAAAGCAAGAAATTGAATTCATAGAAGTTTCCATAATACATTTGTTGGTTTTTCTGCCAATCAAGCGATTACCCATGATACATTAACCTGATACATTCATAAGAAAGCAGGATCACAATGTTCCCAAACATGACTAAAATAATCTTGAAACCTTACTGATTGATTTATTTCATTGTAAAGTATATGCTTAAGAAACTGCAGAATGCATGTGACCAACTTGATTCTAAGAATTATTTGAGTTTGAGTTGCACAGAGCTTTAAGTGTTATGTAAGCTTGAATAAACCACAAGGCAGACACAAGGTTGGGGTTCTGGCATTCTTTTCTACAAAGTGTTACTGATAAACATATAACCTTTATTGACATATACAATTAAAACCCTGTAAAATACAATAGCCCAAACCTAATTAGAATGGGACAATGTGATCAGGCTAAAAATGCAGCTTACTGAAGAAGATGGGCAGATTGCATTGGAAGTGGGGGGTAGCCCATATAGAAGCAGAAGCAGAGATAGGTATTGTGATGGGTTCTACAGGTTGCCCTAGTAGATTTAGCAAAGAGCTGTGATCAGAATTTCTGGACCTCGTGGTTGAGTTGTACTGCCAATTTAGGGTCTTGCTGACCTGTAGAAGATGAATAGTTGTTCATGAAGACATGTGACGCAAGCAGAATAGCATTTGCGACCACAGGGGAAGAAGCATCACAGAGAAATGAGTAGAAAGTGAATTGTTCCTCACACTTGTGCAGGCATGAAATAGCATCGGCAATAGTATTATGGATGCCCTCTACATAAACAGCAGAGATGTGGAAATTGTAAATTGCCAAAAGCCAAGTCTTGCATGATTAGGGTGTAAGCAGTCATGCCCTTGTTGATCATCTGTACAGCGGCTTGGTTATCACTGTAAATGATAATGTGTGGGTCAGACCAGAGCCTATTCCATCATTTAGCTGCAAGACCTATTGCCAGGGCTTCCTTGTTATTGATGTAAAGTGAGTGCCACACTGGGCTATCTGAAACAAAGTGATGGTAGTACCAGTCTACACAGAAACACCCTCCAGCTGCTATTGGGGACATGTCAGTTGCTACGTGGATTTTGGATATCAGATTGTAGAAAATGTCTTTCATTTTTTTAAATTTCAAGTTACAATTTTTCTCTTCCTCTCCCCCCTTCATTTTCTTTTTGTATTTGTGTGCAGTGTGTGTGATTTCACAAATTAGCCAATCACGTTAAAGAACTTCAACCTTGACATTGGGAAACTGACATGGACATTTTTCGTGTACTTTTAGTTTGTTTTCAGAGTTTAAGTTGTTTTAGAGCTTTCATTTGTGTAAATTTGTTCTCCTTTGTTTGAAATTCAAAGAAGTTTCAGAGTTTTTATTTTAGCCAAATGTTATGGTTCATTTAACAAGTTTAATACATATTTTCTATGGAGTTTGGATTCTTGTCTCTTTTTCTTTAAATTGATTTGTTACATGGTGCTGAGACCTGGGAATATTAACTCACTGAAGAATTCACTCTCTCTGGAAAAATGGGCGATGAAGAACTGAAAAAGAAGAGAAAGATCAGATGAGGACATAAAGGATAGGTTATGATGACTCTGGAAAAGGTAAAAGCCTTACTCCATGAATTTGGACTTCCTCTGGTGAATCAATTGAATACTTATCAGATTGCTCTTACAGAAAAACTCAATGTCCTTGGAGCCCAGGATGACAAAATTCTGGCTTTAATGACAGAAGAGCACATCAAAGATGAAATCAAGGAAACTGGAAACTTCAGAGAATCTATTCATCAGATGATAGTGGAAATTGACAAAACTTTCAATGCAGTTGAACTTGAAAAGGCCAGAAATATAGATAAGCCAATTCCTCTCTCTAATTCTAATTTGTTTACCAAAAGTCTTGAAATTGGGAAGGCAAAACTGCCAAAGATTAATCTCAAGAAATTCTATGATAATCCCATTTCCTTCAATCCATTCTGGGACTCATTTGTAAGAGCAGTCGATGACAACCCTGGTTTATCAGATGTTGACAAATTTAATTATTTGGGAAATTCATTAGAAGGGCCAGCCACAGGAGCCATTCAAGGGCTACTGCTTACACCAAAAAATTACAAGTCAGTTAAAGCCCTTCTAAAGAAATGATTTGGGCAACCCCAAGTGATCATTAATGCTCACTTGGAGGGATTAGTCAAAATATTAGCTGTAAGCATTGACAATGATTTGAGATGTCTAGGCCTTCTTTGCGATCAAGTTGAGGCACATGTTCAAGCTTTACAAGCCTTGGAAATAAACTGTGAATCATATGGGAAACTTTTGATTCCCTCCCTCGTGGAAAAATTACCTCCAAATATGCCCTTGATAATTTCAAGGGCCATGGATCAACCATAATGGGACTTGGATGTTTTACTTAATACCTTTGACCATGAAATTGAAGTGAGAGGGAGACTGATCCCGACTGATCCTTCTACCTCTAAGAAGCCTTTCTCAGGCCATCAAGAAAAGTAAAGAGTTTTCATCAGCTTTAGCTCTTGTTGATCAGTCTGAGGGATCTGTAACCTGTACCTTCTGTAAGCAAGGGCGCCCCAGCGTGAGTTGTGGTGTAGTCACTGACATCAAAGCCAGAAGAAATCTGTTGAAACGAGAGAGTCGCTGCTTTATTTGGCAAGGAATTGCTCTCAGGGCAAGGAATGCCACATTTGCTCATGAAGACATCACATGTCAATTTGCGAGAAAGCCAACAGCAGTTGTGTCATCTTGGAAAGTGCTGCTCAAGGAAGGAACGTAACAACGTGGACTCAAACATGTCAATATGCTGCAAACGGCCAACGCCTCTGTGTCATGGATCCATCAACCTCATTCTGCTGTAACTATGTGCATTCTATTTGACAGTGGCAGCCAGCTGAGCTACATTTCTGAATGAGCAAAAGAAAAAATTAGGGTCTGTCCCTGAAGAGAGAGGAGAAGCTACTCATCAAAATGTTTGGACAAGAAAACGAAGACTTAAGAGAGTGTGGCATTGTCAAATTCTGTGACAGGGGATTGAGTCAAAGTTCAGGCGTTCAGATGACTGTTCATAGAATCCCTCTTATCTGCAGTCCTTTGGTGAATCAAGCCGCACAGTTTGCTCAATAATCATACAGTCATCTGACAGACTTGAAACTTGCAGATCAACCATCTGAAGACTGTGATTCAGAAGTAGATGTCTTAATTGGCAAGGATTTCTATTGGTCTTTCTTCACTGGAGACGTGAAACGGGAAGAATCAGGACCTGTAGCGAGAAAGTCTTACATGGGTGTTATCGTGCCTTTGCCCCAAACACTAGGTTCAGATACTGATGTTCATTTAGTCAGAAGCCATACCTTGTGGCAAGACACCTCCTCATGTGACGACAGGGTTAATGATAAGAGAATTTACGACCCACTGCTGGAACAAGTGAAAAAATTCTGGGAGTTAGAAGCTATTGGCGTGTCAACACAAGAAAAGACAATGCATGAGAAGTTCTTGGATACTATTTATCCTTACAACAGCTGCTATGAAGTCTCTCTTCCTTGGAAAGAACAGCACGTATTACTTCTTGATAACTATGCCCAAGCTGTTTCTCACCTGGCTTCTGTTCTAAAACATCTAAGAAAGAATCCTGGATTGTTTGAAGAGTACAACCACATCACTGAAGAGCAATCTTCATGAGGAATAATTGCTGAAGTTAATCCCGACATACCAGTCGAAGTTGGTCATGTTCATTATTTACTGCACCATCCAGTTGTATGTGAAGATAAACAGATGACTAATATGAGGATAGTCTATGATGCATCCACCAAGTTTACTGGTCCAGCATTGAACAACTGCCTTCATGCAGGTCCATTATTGCTTTCTGAAGTACCCAATGTTCTCGCGCGTTTCAGGTACCACCTAGTTGTTTTGGTGGCAGGCATTGAAAAAGCCCTCCTAATGGTCCAGATCAAAGAAGCTGACCGAAATGTTTTCCACTTTGTTCGGGTAGATGATACTGATAGTGAAAATCCAAACATTGTTGTGAAATGTTTCAATGGAGTTGTATTTGGTGTTGCAAGTTCTCCCTTTCTGCTGAATGCAACTATCAGACATCACATGACCAAGTATGAAGCTAATGATCCCCAGTTCATGAGCAATTTTCTGACCTCTCTCTATGTGGATGACTTAAATGGGGGAAAGACAGTGTCTCTGAAGCATTTGGGCTCTACAAAAAAAGAAAGATCAAGAATCACAGAAGCTGGATTCAATTTAAGTTAGTGGATGTCAAGTTCCTAGAGGCTCATGGAATGGATTGACAAAGAAGGAGTACCCATTAAAGAAGTGGTTAAGCTATCTGAAGAAGACAGTCTGTATGGACGGACCTAGTGTGGAGTCCAAGGTTGTTCCCAATCCGTTTCAACCGCAAAGAAAATTCTTGGATTAAATTGGAACATTGACATAGACACCTTCTTTTTTCGATTTGACTGGCTGGTGGAATTCACTAAAGAACTTTCCATAAACGAGTGCACTGTACTTAAGGTTGTGGCTAAGTTGTATGATCCTCTTGGTTTTATTTCACCTCTCTTCATCCCAATCAAGACACTCTTTTAGGATTTATGCGAAGCGAAAATTGGCTGGGACGACCCTCTCAATGAGGAATTTTCTTTGAAGTACTTGCAGTGGTAATCTGATTTGTCAAAAATGAATGTATCCCAATCCAATAATGTTTTTTTCTAGACAAGAGCGTAATTTTGCTTTAACTACATGGCTTCGGAGACAGCAGAAGTAGCATATGTGGCAGCTGGATATCTCAGAGTGGAAATGAGTCAAGGAGTCTATGTTTATTTGTTGATGAGTAAGTCACAGGTCATACTGCTTCCCAAGCAAACCATTCCCAGGATTGAGCTCTTAGTGTCACTCATACTATCCAAGTTGATTACCCAAGTCCATTCAGCCCTACTTCCATTGGTCAAGATTAATGAAATATTTTGCTGGACAGATTCCACTGACTCTTCACTGGATAAAGGGGGTGGACAAAGAATACAAGCAATTTGTTGAGAACAGAGTCAAGGAAATCCATCAAAATGTGCCGCCTGAAGTGTGGAACCATTGTTCCGGAAGTCAGAATCCCACAGACCTGCCCTCCCGTGGTATGGGATCAGATGCGTTTAAACAGTCACAAATATGGTGGCACAGTCCATTTTGGCCAGTGAAAGAAAACAAGATTTGGCTCTACTTTGGAAACTCCCATGAGCCTTCAAGTGCTTATTTTGAAGAAATGCATTCGAAGGACAATGGAAAGCCTACCTCTGGGGTTCTTATAGACTCTTCGATGATATCATATAGAGACTTTAAGAAGCTGATGTGATTAACAGCACTTGTACTCAGAGCCATGAAGAATTTCAAAACTAGAATGCATGGTGAAGAACCGAGTAGCTCTTTGAGTACTGTGGAGTATGCTTACACAGAAATTCTATGGATCTGCAAAATGCAACAGTCCATAATCAAGTCACAGATTAAAAGAATTGAAACAACAGCTAGGACTGTACACAGATGAAAGTGAGTTGCTCTGATGTAATGAAAGACTACATCAGCAACATTGGAATTGGTTTTGCCTGACCATTGTTTTTTTTTAAGAGTGGCTATAATGAGAAGGGTGGTATGGAGAAAGTATACATCGTATTGTACACTTTTGGAAGTAGTAGAGCTGTTCATCTTGATGTTGTGCTGGACCTGAGCACGGAAACATTCATCAAAAGCTTTAAATGATTCATCTGCAGACGAAATATACCAAAGCTAGTTGTATCAGATAATGTCCCAACCTTCAAGACAGCTGCTAAGTTCTTATCATCCCTCTTTGAGTTACCAGAAGTTCAGAGTTCCTCTTGAATCACAAGATGGAGCTAGTTTTTAGTGCCGTGGTGGAGCAGTTTCTTCAAAACACATGATTTGTTGTGTTAAACATTGTCTCAAGAAAATTTTGAAGAACACGAAGTTGATGTATGATGAGCTCTTAACTGCTAAAGTAGAAGTGGAATGTGTAAAGAACTCGAAACCACTCACCTATGTATCCTCACATGATACAGAGGAACCCCTCACGCCTTCTCATCTGTTGATAGGGAGGAGAATTTTGTCCATCCCTAACAAATGTGCAACCACTGAAGAAGATGAAACTGATGTCCAACTCCTCACCAGAAGGCAACATTATTTGTCTGAATTGCTCGGTCAATTTTGGAATGTTGGAAACATGAGTGTATAGTGGATCAAAGGGAGCGCTACAGGCATGCTAATGAAGTTGCCAGGGTTGCACAATCAGATTTTTACACAGATCTAGAAACAGCCAAGTACCATTGAAGACCTTGAGAAAAAGAACCCCCACATAGTATCACTGCAAAACTTACCATCAAGCTTGAACTTCCTTAAGAGGATATACCATATACAACTTGACAAGCCTTACTTAATTTGCTAGCTAGATGTTGTAACTGGTTTTGCTTGCGTGCTGTTTGTTTTGAAATTCAAGAACTATGTCCTACAGTTTGGCTAGTTTTGTGGCAGGCAATGTCATCATGCAAGCAATAGTGTCCAATTGCACTCCCAAGAAGGGTACATGCTGAGTTGGGGGGAACAAGTTTGTGTCGGCTGATGGTAAATCCCAGGTCCACCAGGAGGTGTAGAGGCGTATCATAGGCCAGTTTGCACCACTCAAGTGGATCCCCAATGATCAGAAAATCATCAAAGTAAACTATGACTTCAGTGAACCCTCTCCTTGGCCATCATACAGTGCACAGACTGCATAAAATGGTGGAATATTTCTGGAGAGCTCTTGGCACCGTATGGAAGCCTAGTATCGTACAAGTAAGTAATGTGCGCATCACCTGAAAATTTCCATTTTAAGCTGGTAAAGTGATAGTTCATCATATGAATAGGGACGGAACAGTATGCATGTTGCAGATTGACTTTTGCCGTGTAAAAATTGGGCTGAAGCAATTTGTCAAGAGTTTGGATTTTAAATAATTTAGTTTCAATGTAGTCATTCACAGCCTGCCCATTTGGCCTAGAGCAGTGTTGACAAAGCCAAATTGTGAATGATTCTGGTTCAGGAATGGCTTCTAAAGCACAAAAAGATTCTTATTAAGATCATCCTATAAGATCAAAATAATATTGTACAAGTTCTTTACAAGATCACCTGATTATATCTTCTAAAAGAATCTTACCAAGAATGTTATAAGATCTTGCTGAGATGAAACAAGATTCTTTCTAATATCACCTGATAAGATCTTGTTGAGTATATGACAAGGAATCTTAAGAGATTACTACTAACCATACCTTGTTAAGAATCTTAAGAGAAATCCTACAAGATCTCACCAAGATACAACAAGATTGAGTTTGACACAGCAAGATTGAGTTACATACATACATACATACATACACCTTTATTCAAATTCTATATACAAATAAATTTATATATAAAAATTTGAAAAGGGGAGTTTGGAGGTTAGCCCTATATAACAACTCCCCTGAATAAAAAATAAAAAGTAACAAATGTAGAACTATGTACAGAAAAAAAAAAAGAAGAAGAAGAAAGGAACTATCTAATGTTTACAATTTTAAAAATATTTTTAATCTTAATTTAAAAAGTTCCAGAGTCCCTGCCTCTACAACATGCTTTGGTAAATTGTTCCAGTCGCTAACTACCCTAATAAAAAACTAATTTTTAAAACAATTTATCCTCGAAGATTTGAAGTAAAGTTTATAAGAATGATTAGCCCTTGTGAAACGCACTTTTGTAAATTCGAAAAATTCTTGAAATTCTAAATGGGAGAGGCCAAAAACAATCTTGTAACATTCCACAAGTGAAAAGTAGGTTCTCCGTGTGGATGAAAGAGGCCAATTTAAAATGTTACACCGTTCCTCGTACGGCATTTCACCTCGTTTCTGTCTGAGAGCTAATCTCGATGCATGGCATCGCACGTTCTCGATTGCATGTATATCTTTCACAAGGTAGGGATTCCACACTGGTACAGCATACTCTAATAGAGGTCTCACCAAAGATTTGTAAAGCAGTGAAAAAGTACTTGTATTGGCTGTTCCAACAGTCCGCCTAATGAGTCCCAGGACTTGGTTGGCTTTGTTTACTATGATACTGATGTGTTGAGACCAGGAGAGATCTTTTGAGATTACAACTCCAAGATCTTTAAAGCTATTAACATCCTTTAAGGTCGAGCCGAGAGTGTAATCGGTAGACGATTTTTCATGGGAATGCGTTATACGCATTGCTTCACACTTTTCCTCATTGAAACGTAATTGCCATGTATTCACCCAGTGACTGACGCTATCAAGATCAGATTGAAGTGTTTGTATGTCAGAAGTCGGATTATGGAGTTCTCTATAGATCTTAGTGTCATCCGCATACAATTTAATATTGGACGAAACACAGTCAGCAATACCGTTTATGTATGACACGAATAAAATTGGGCCAAGGATGGTGCCCTGCGGGGTACCAGATACCACGGGCGCCCATTCAGAAAAGGTACCTCTAACAACAACTCGTTGCTTATGGCAGGTGAGGAAGTGCCTTAGCCAGTTGATTAAGTTTCCTACAATACCAAGGCTACGTAGTTTAATAAGTAGGCACTCATGGGGAACACTGTCAAAAGCCTTGGCGAGATCCAAGAAGATGACGTCTCTTGCAAAAGATGAATCTCTCGATTTCGCAAAGTCGTGGATAGTTGAGAGTAATTGAGTCGTAGTTGACCTGCTCTGCAGAAAACCAAATTGGTTTTTGTTTATCACGTCTAGGTTATGCCAAAAGGATGTTATCCTATTTCGTACAATTTTTTCGCTGATCTTGCATACGATAGAGGTAAGCAAGATTGGATGGTAGATTTCTCTCAAGTGTTTAGAACCTTTCTTATGGAGTGGAACAATATCTGCTGACCTCCAGTCTTCGGGCAAATGCCCAAGCTGGAAAGATTTGTTTACCAAATATGAGATCGAAGGAGCTAACTCCGATGCGCACGATCTTAAAATTACTGGTGAAATACGATCTGGTCCCGGGGACTTGTTCGGTTTGAGGGAATTGAGACGCTTCATTACTTCGCCAGAAGTGCAGGAAATAACATCGATATTCTCGCTGACTGTAGGTTCTAAGGAAGGCATATTTGCGAGGTCCTCAGTAGTGAATACAGAGGAAAAGTACGAGTTTAAGCTGCTAGCAATGCTAGAATCATCTGTCAAGACTTCGTCGCCAACATTTAAGGATACTAAATTATTAGTACCATTGCGTTTACGCTTAACGTAATTCCAGAAAGGCTTAGAATTACCACTGAAGTCAAGTTCCGAGGCCATGTTATTGATGTAAGTCCAGCGAGCTTGGTTGCATTCTC